TGGGAGGGCATAGCATGAACCAGAGAACCGGAGCTCGTAGCTCGCGTAGCGCACTGCACGCCCTGCTCTGGGGGCTGCAGGCCTAGCGAAGCAACGTTATGTGCTCGAGAAGTAACGCAATCAGAATTCAGATCATTTGACATGTTACATACCCCCAAATGAGACTCAGACAGCGAGTAATGATGAAATGCCGGTTGGCCTTTATTGAAAGAATTCTTCCCACCCCCCCTCCTCTGCCATAGGGAGGTCGGCGGTGGGTGCGTTGGTCCCGCGAGCCTCCCGTGTGTCTGTCCGGACCCGGGGGCCTCGTCGAGGGGGGACGATAGGCCACGGAGCGTGGATATGGGTCAGGGCGCCTCCCGGGCGAACGCTCCCTGCCTCTGTCTCGGCTCCGCGCTGGTGGGCGGGCCCCGCGCCTCGGCACCAGATACTGGGGCTAGCTAGCCGAGTCCTTGGCTGCGGTCTCCAGTCTAGCCACCAGGGTCTGCATGTCCGGACCGAAAAGGGACGTCTGGGAAATAGGCAGGTCCAGCAGCTGCCTCTTCTTCGCCTCCCTGATGTTAGCCAGCCCAAGCCAGAGGTGCCTGGCCCCGACTTGAGCTGCTGCCATGGTGCGGCCGCCATCCACAGCTAGCGCCTTGCACATGCGCAGGATCGCCGCTGAAGTGGTCCTCGCCTGAGATAAGGTGTCTCCACTGAGCGCCTGGCCAGAAGAGAGCGACCTATCCAGGGCCCCCGTGATGAAGGCCATGTTATTCGCCACGGCGACGACCTGTGCCGCATTGGCGTAACATCTGTCGTGCATAGCCAAAGACGTCCTGTCCCGCTCGGAGGGAAGGAGAGGTCTGGTGCCGGGCCACACGGATGCGGAGGGGTGCAGGGCCATGCGGACCGAATCCTCGATGTCCGGGACCCCGCCGGTCCAGGACCAGTCCTGCACGCTGCAATACATACCGTAGCCCAAAGCGGGCCTCTTGGCCGTTAGGGGCTTTGGCCACTCACGTGTCGCGTAATGGACGATGGGTCCATCCGCGGGCACAACGTGGGCTGTATCCTCCTCCTCCCTCGAGTGGTGGAGTAACCAGAGGTGAAGTCCTCCACCTTCTGGGTCGGTTGCGGTGGCAGGGGGGCATCCATAATGGCCGCCGCAGTGGAGTAGAGCCCAGGCATGTGGTCCAGTGGGAAGCGGTCCGGCTCCGGGTTCGACACCACCTCGTCCAGCGTGAGGAGAGAGCCGACCTCCGAGATCTCTCCGTCCTCACAGTCACCCCACTCCGCGGGCACGGGTGGAAGGTCGAGTGGGGCCCAGTTAGTCTCAGACTCCTCGTCCTGAGAGGAGTCCGGACGGGGCGCTGCAGCGGCGTGGTACGCACGCCTGCGTTCGCTCTCCTCCCTGGGGAGAGCGAGACACGAGGTGCAGGTGGCGCTCAACGCCACATGGCCCGGGCCCAGGCACATGAAGCAGCTGGAGTGCTGGTCCGTGCGCTGGAGCCTGACTCGACACGTCGAGCAACGACGACGTCCGACGCCGGAGGGCGAAGGGGAACTCGGACGAGCATCTGAAGACATCTTTCTCTGGTAATAATTGAAAACTGTGTAGATCTCAATCGGCGCCAGAGTGAAAGAGGGGGTGCGGCCTTTGTGCAGGGGCATTTATAGAGGAGGGTGGCTGGTGATTGGAGCAAATTATTTTGATCTCTCTGGCGTGTGACCTGGGGGTCACGAGTGATATCCCACTAGCGAAGTCCTAAGGGACGTAGCACCATGACGTAGAATCACTGGTGTGAAAAATGGTAAGATCGAGGTTCCTCCACCCCGCTCATGAACAAACAATGGCCCCTTATGAGGACAAGAGACTCCCCTCTAAAGAAATGGATGAGCATATAATGGAAACAAAGTCACTCAGGTTTTTAGAAAAGCGAGGGTGACATTAATTCTTAATGTAATTAAACAGGCAAAGGGAAATTCAAAAAAGTTGTTGCAAACAGTAGATACAATTACTGAAAGAGGGAAACCAAACTTCAATACCACAGAGCTCAAAATTGGCGTAACTTTTATTCAGGATGGTTCAGTTGCAGAACACCTGAGCAATTATTTAACAGATTGTGTGAAATCACACGACAAACTTCAGGACTTATTACTGTGTTCTCACCACTTGCATCCATCTCCAGCACTGCTCTAAAAAGTCACAGCATTGATTATGCTAAAACACACAAAATAATACAATCGTTGTCAAACTCTGAGGCGGAGATCACTGGGGACTTGACAGAACCCTCATAAAAAACACAGGGAGGCAAGTTTGTGTTTTTAATTGTGATGTGTTTATCTATGTGTGCTCACCTGCACCAGCTGGTGCAAACCATCTCTTCTTTTGTAAAGACAAAGGGATTTGTACATTGTCCCTGTTTTATAAACAATAAACTAAACTAAACTATCCCAGAACTCCTGAAAAATGTTGCCTTTCCCGCAATCTTTTGCTTTGCGTTAAATTATTTATGTGAGAAAGTTATGAGTTCCCAGACATCGGCTCTCAGCACCAGTCTATAGCAGAATCCATCTATGGACAGGTGGGTTTTCCTGCTGTATTCGTACAGTGCACATTTCTCTGCTAAAACATAGATCTTTCACATTTCTATGCGATCCATGTCCGTTATGCTTCTCCATAGATCTATGAACTATCACCATGGCAACGCAAGTGATACAGATACAAATGTTGAAGAGATATTTGAAGAGAAGTTAAAAAGTTTGGCTTATGTTACAAAATAAATAAATTATATGTTTTGTATTGATTATTTCTAATATGTGTTATTTCTTGTGTCTGTGAGGAAGTATTTATTGAAAGCTCTGTACCAAACAGAAGTCCAGTAACTTCATTTGTCATTTGGCATGACCCTTCACAAATTCAAATTGAATGTCATTTCTGTGGCACTCGCCGGGCGTCCCTTGTGTGATGGCAACAGTTCAGAGTCAAATAGGAAAATGATGTGTTTTTCACCTGGACCAGGAGTAGAAGCTTGTTTCACATAAGTTCCATATTTCTGCTACGTAAATCTGAGACGCTGAGTCCTCGTAGTCTTGACTCGAGCAGCAGGAGGCCGGGTTTGAATAATGTTCATCTGCTGCTGTTTGGTGCATCTGTTTTCAAAGAGCAAAGTTAAAGCGCTCCATAACCACCAGTCCTTCAGGTTATTCACACTCCTTACGACAAAGCTACAAACTGCTCTCCCTCAGCACTTTCAATGCCATTTTCAATGTCGCAGCATCCTGAGCTTTTCCAGTAAATACGCACAAGCACACACATACGCACACACACACACACACACACACACGTACGCACGCACACACACACACACACACACACACTGAGATTAAGTTACATTTGAGAAATGTTGAGAGTGTATGAGTCAGACTCACAAACAGAGAAAACTGAATAAACGGTAATCTTATATTTTAAAATGTGTGACATGATAAAAGACATTATCGATCACAGTCCTTTTGGACGCAGTGAGACACACGCTGTGTTGAATTAGTTGCTTTCTGAATAGTAGTATTTTTAAAGCGCATAAATATCATCATCAATCATTTTTCCATAAACCGCTATGTATTCATTTTATAGGAGAAAGACCTGCGGAGGCGTCTGGTGTCAGCGAGGGTTACCACACAAATAGTCAATATTACAATGATGCATGTAGTTTAATGATTGAGGCAGAAAGCCAATGTGCGCACAAGTATGAATATTTATAGATTTTTACATTCTAGGGAAGATGATAAAGATCTGGTGTGAAGCGTTTCCAGCCTTCTTTCTGCTCTCTATTATTCCGTCCCGCTGAAAAGACCTCTTTTCTGCTTGAGCGATAAGATCTGATTGGCTCTCCCACCCAGGGATGGGAGGAGATATGCTAATGAAGAGCTGACAAAAGATGCAGATGGAAGACGCTGATAAATGTACATTTTATGTTTGTTTACGGTTTTCTTTTCTGATCGCAATGTGAGCAACTTTCTTGATAAACTTTACATTTGAACCTGAATTTAACCATACAAAAGCCACAATTACATATTCTTCCTGAAATATTTTTTAAGCAACCTGCACCACTAACTATACACACTATTTTACTAACAGTGGATTATAAACTTGCAACCAATAAATATTTTGTAAATGTATGCAGACAGCAGCTGCATCAAGAGTGAATTATTAACCCGTAAGGCCCTAAAGTAGAATTGCAGGACCTGGATTGTTTACATACATTTCGCCCAAAAAATGTTTTAACGTATATTTTATTTGACGTATTGATTTCAGCAGTATGCCATCTCTTTTGAAGTTTCAGGACACATTTCTGATTCAATATTTTCACATAGAATTTCTGGGGGAAAAAGTAGTAAGGAAAAAATCTGATAGAGTTACAGGGGTCACACCTGTGAACCATTATTTATTTGTTAGATGGACATGCATGTGAAAGTCGTCCTGTCAGACCTCTGAAGCTAAGCAGAGCAGGGCCTGGTTAGTACAGTGATGGGAGACCTCTGAGAACACCAGGTGCCACAGTGGGGCAGCTGTGGCTACAGTGGTAGTATGGACTGAATGAATAATAACGTGTGAAGTGTCCACAAAGCGCTATAACCAATGTATTATTAAATGTAGATGTCTGTATTTAGGTTTGCAATTTTTTATTATTAAATATCAATACTCCCTAAAGTATGGGAGTAACAATATTTATTTCATTTTTTATTCATTGACCTTTTTTGCCAGGGATTGAACTACTGAGGTTAAGACTTTCTTCTGGGAGATTTCTGCCCATACCGAGGAGGAGCCAATTCATGAAAAAAATCTAATTCATCATGTCAAAACTCTAGTTGCAGACTCATTCCAAACATAATCAAATATACACAATTAATAAATGAGCAATGATCACAGTGTCTGGGGAGTGTGTGGGCAGAGGATGTGAAAAAGTCAAATACTGAGCTGTAGTTAACACAGACTGGATCCATGTTTTGTTTTACAGGAAGGAGGCCAGAAGTGCATCCCATCCGAAGAATTCAAGTGTGAGGAGGTGAGGATCTCAACTGGTTTTTAACAAATCATGAATTAGATTATAGCTTTACAAACTGTAAAGCCCACACAATTTACACTGACATAAATCACATTCAAATTAGACATGCAAGTATTCATTTGCGTTTTCCACAACTGTAAAGACCCAGGTGTGTTCATGTTTACGGTGACCAAGGAAATCCCCAAATGAAGTGTATTGCCTTTGATTATATTCATTATATTTGTTCCATTTGCTCAAATTAAAAAGCTAGGAATGGAGACGCAACTGTATCTTCGGTGCGAGGTAAACCAGTGCCATCTGTGTTTGTGAAAGTCACGCAGATCCACAAGACTTTTTTGGTGACGAGCATATGTGCCGGGGGTGGGCGGCTGCAAATACAAATACTTTTTTCCCAAATGTTTATGTAAATTGCGGTGTAAAGGTCGGTGGAGTAATCACGCTTAAAACACTATGGACAAAGCTTTCCTAAACTAAGAGGGTATGCAGATGTTACAGTGGGATAATAGAATGGAACTAAGCACTACAGATGCACTTCATACAACTACCCTGGCTGTACATGCGGCTGTAGATGTATCCTTAAAGTATCTTGTGCATTTGAAGTTGTAAATGTGCTTCAGAAATATACTTGAAATACTTTGGAACTAATGTGAATGCTGCTGTTTGATCTGGTCTTTACGTGGACGTCACAGAATTACCCATGATTTCAGGGTGTATTATAAATAACATCTACAGCTTGTATGTGTCCCCAGATAATTGAATCATATGTGACATTTTCTGAACCAAAGTTTAAAGTGATAGTCTGGAGTTTGTCAGAAAAAAGAGAGAGAGGTACATGATTTGAAAAAAAAAAACCAAGCTCCCTTCCCCTTCCTACGCCTACGTTTCCCTAACAATCAATCAACACATTTAAATGTTAATCTGAGAACACATTATACATATACATTATTAATACACACACAGAGGTTTCCAGAATTATCTGTCAACGTTTTCATGACAAAAATTATGTTTTAATGCATAAAAAAGCGACCGTGGTAAACCCGGAAGTAGCTATTTTCATTCATTGAACATTATAGGATATAGGTTCAGTATATAAATGATTATATAGGTTCAGTATAAAAATGATTATGGATATAGGTTCAGTATAAAAATGATTATGGATATAGGTTCAGTACATAAAGGATTATGGATATAGGTTCAGTATATAAATGATTATGGATATAGGTTCAGTACATAAATGATTATGGATATAGGTTCAGTATATAAATGATTATGGATATAGGTTCAGTATATAAATGATTATGGATATAGGTTCAGTATATAAATGATTATGGATATAGGTTCAGTATATAAATGATTATGGATATAGGTTCAGTATATAAATGATTATGGATATAGGTTCAGTATATAAATGATTATGGATATAGGTTCAGTATATAAATGATTATGGATATAGGTTCAGTATATAAATGGGTAACTCAGCGCGGATGTTCAGAATTCTTTGTTCAGTTTTCATGTAGTTCCAGAGCCTAATAAAGGCTCGATTCGGAGGCTCTGTAAAAACAAACAACTGAGCATGAGCAGCTATGAGCATCAGCGTGATGATTGACAGCCCTTGGCATCACTTGATTGATTAAACTGGACGGCATCGTGGATTCTGAGCTATAGCTAAGAGCAGGGAAGGCGGGACTTACCCGCAATATTAGAATTCATAAAATGACTTATTTTATATCAACATTTAAGGCCAAGAGGTCAATTTAATACAATTCTTAGAATGTGTATTTCATTCAGAGGTCCAGAGTATCACTTTAAAGTGAAATTATTCTCAATCAAAAATACAGTCGGCTTGATGGCCATAAAATGTATGTCTATGATTTTCAGAAAGAAGAATGAGGCTGCTCTCTGAAAATTGACATTATGGCTCTTCTATTTTTCTTCTTTAAACAACAACATTCACAAAAAAAAACATAGCACCACCCATTTGTTGAAATGAAACCAGGTACAAAAATACGCAGTCACACATACTGCACAGCGTTTCTGGCTTAACTCCAGCAGGAGGTTCACATCAGAACTCAGTGCTGCATGTGTGATTGTAATTGTAATTACTTTATTAGATAAGAGTACATATTACATACGGCCCCTTTAACTATGACATTATACATACGCAAACTAGGACTGCTTTAATTACATCGAAGAGAACTTACTAATGCTAGACTCGGGAATCCAATGGGTTTTGAACTGTCATCACATATTCTTTGTCAAACTTGTGCTGTAATGATAAAACGTTTGAACTAAAACAAATGTGAATGATGTCAAAAAAAGCTGTCAGTCATTTCAGAAAGTGAAACTCATATATTATATAGAGTAAATGCACACAGAGCGAAAGATTTTGAGCCTTTGTATACAATAACAATTTCCCTTTTCTGAAATGACTGACGTTTTTTACTTTTTCACAACATTTGGGCTTTTGAGATTGGGGGTGGTAGGTTTTTACAGGGATCATGAATACATAAACACCAAAACACATGAAGGAGCTGCATGTAGACCAGAGTAGCCCAATAGTTTCCATAGTTGTAACAAATGGAACTTCAAATTAATAACAAAAAGTATTATTAGACATGTGTTCCAGTTGAAGTACTGTGTGTTCAGACGCTAACTCTGTTCCTCTCCAGGCCCTGTTGACACACGGCTCGTTTGACCCGACCCAAGACCGCAGCAGTGGTCCACAACCCTCTTCCCTTCATCACATATGTGCCATGATGTCCCTTCTCACAATATTTCTGTTCTCTCAAATGTGAGCTCGTCCACTTTGGAATCAGCAATCATACTTTGTCTTTTTTCGTACAACCCACAAAAAAAACTCATCCCCCTTGTAAATGGCACGACCCAGTAAGCCACAGTGAAACGCCAAATCAAGTAGTCCAAGGAAACATGGAGAACGGGCTTTTCGAAAGGAGTTGCTTCTGAAGTGACACAATGGAAAGCAGAAAAACTGTTTCTGTATGCAGAGCCACGTGGAAGGCGGTGAATGAGACAGTCTTGGGATTTTGGATCATACTAACTTGACTTTGGAGAGTTGCTGTGCTCGGACTTGGCCTCCTCTTCTGTCCGGGTTTTGGTGGATCACAGAAAGACTTGGCCAAAGCGCAGGGACTTTGGATGGAGCTCAAAGCAACACCCTTAAACCCCAACATGCACATTGTCAAATCATCAGAGAGAAGCAGCGGCATGGCTCTGGACACTCGGGACTCTCCTCCCACTTTGCTCAGCTTGATTTATCGCTCTGTTGAATCTCTGTGGGAGAAAGAACTCTACACAAAGGACATACTAATACAGGCTGGCGGACAAACAGGGTCCTCACAAACGCTCCATGCAGTACATTGTGCGTTTGCAGGTTTTTGTTCTGTTATCAATAATCTGTAAAAAAAAAAAAAAAAAAAAAAAAGTTAAAAAACATCTATATATATATATATATATATATATATATATATATATATAATAATTATTATTTTGTGTGAAATATAAAATGATGTTTATTTCACAGTTGTGTCAGTTGGTGTGCTATTTTTGGATTGTCTTCGGACCTGGTTTTTACTAAAGGTGTAATCACGCCCACTTGGCCAAAAGCTTGTCTTAATGTTAAGCCATCCGTTCAACAGATATCGATCTAATGCCAAAATAAGATCTGAAATCAGATACTGAAGCAGGTGAGCAGGTGGTGACATAAATGCAGAGTCTAAAGTGGCAAAAGAGGTTTTACTGTAATGTATGAAGTGGAACAATGGTGAGTTATTGTTGCCGAATGACCAAATGTTGAAGATCGTTGTCATTCCGATGCTCCGTCTGTGAGAGTGAGACTAGTCATCTCTGTGGGTCTTATATGTTTCCCCACTATCCTCCCTTAGAGTAATGAATCTTGGAGCAGTTTGATTTGGTGTGGCCTTAGCTTAGCGCTCTTAATCTATTCTGTCAGCAGAGAACCTCACCACTGTCTGTCTTTGAACAAATCTTTCAGGATTTTCTTTCTTTCTTTTTATTTTTTTACTCGCAGCTTGAGTGAGACATGGATGGCTCGACGAGGTCAGCTCAAAATGCTAATAGCATGATTATCCATGTCCACTATTTGGTCCGAAATGTCAAATGCTATTTGGGAACATCCAAATGTCAGAGTAAATTGCCTCCGCTCTCCACTTGAATAAACCTTACGTTTGAAGGTTTGCTGTTTGGCCACTCGTAATGCACAACAAAATATGTTTACACAATAATCAAATAGTAAATATTGTACTTGAATTGGGTTGATATGATTCTCTTTCGCTCTTTCGCGTAACATTATTGAATTTACAATGACCGTTTTGCAAGCTTTTTGTGTTTTTTTTATGGATATGTCTCTCAGCCATTTATACATATTCAAATGTGACTGTTCTCATTACAACAACTTGGGAGTTAAATACACATTCCTGCAGGCATGTGTCAGTCTGGATCTGCGGAGAATGGCATTAATGCAAAGACTTCAGTTCATTTTATAAAATATTTCAGAAAATGCGGTGTCGCTCAGGAACCATTTCCCAACTGTTGCTCAGGTGTAAAGACCACCACAGAAGGATGAGCTGTGAGGAAGAAGAGACAGAGAAGGGGAATAACTTGTTTTATTTTGATTTTATTTGTATGATTTCACAGTGCTGCAGAAGTGTACATGGAACTTTTCTGGAGACCATAATAAAGTGAACGCTACATCGACATTGTCTTGCATGTATTTTGTGACCTCCAATCCTGTCGTGTGGGATGTGTCTCTGGCAAAGGCGACAGAAGAAGAAGGTGACACAGACATGATGACACACTGATGCGACACTCATGCTTCTCCCGACATTACTTCATCTTTTAGAAACAGCCATGTGTTTGCAGAGCAGGCGATTGATTCAAGCCAATGATCTGGGTCTCAGTCTTTCAGTTATGCCTTCAACATTTGACATTTCTAGCTGGAGTTTGTGAGAGTGGTTAAGATGCAGAATGTGAAGGCGTCCAGGTCATCCTCCTCCTCAGGCTGTTCAGTCAATATCAGTCAGAGCATTGGTCATACTCCGCCGAGCTGCACATGATTACTGAATAAAAGAGCACTATTGGGCGGATTTCACTCTAAAGTTTTATTATGAATGATTTTTTTGCAATATTGTTGATTTCAATTGATGAATGAATTAAATGTGAAACAAACCTTACACCGATGCAGTCTCAGTGTCACGATGTGGACTTGTTTTCACCTCATGACACTCAGTTGCCTTGACAAAAGTATTCACACAAACGTTTTATGTGGTGTGATACAAAATACATAAAGATATTTTATTGTGTTTGTGTGTGAAAGATCAACAACAAAATTCAGACAATTGCGAGGTGAAAGCAAACTGATTAGGAATTGGCAACACTTGATGATCGATGAATCAGCCCTAAAACAAAGTATCCCAATGGGAAAAGCTAACATAACTTATTTTTTCGCCATCAAAAAGCAAATGCTTGTTTGGAATGAGAATAAAATATGAGTATAACTGCAATAGCTTTTATGATTTTATTAGAATATAGAAAATATTTCCTTCCAAATTAGATTCAATTGTGTGTAAACACTGGTCCAGCTCTCCCCAATATGCCAATATCCCATATGGCTCTTGGAGAAAATAATTACCCACCCCCTGGACTTGAGGGTCTTTGGCTCAATAGATGATGGCAGTCTGACGAGAAGCTGATTGAAGCAGTTGTGACACATTTATGTATCAAGATTCAATGTCCCGAAGGACATTTGTCTTGGACTGGACTCCCAGGCTGCTCCATCTGAAAGAACACATAAGACCTAAGACAAGAACACATAACAGTAACACAGACATAATGATCAGCTCTCTGCTCTATAGTCTGCATTTAGGAGGTTCACAGATTTCTTATTTTTAGCTGAGGCTCTGTAGCGGCGGCCGGATGGGAGAGACTCATACTGGGAGTAAAAACATGTGAGGAGACTGAGGTGATTTTCTTCACAGTCTGCTCAAATATCGGCTATAACGATGGATGCTCTCTAACTCCCATTATTCTACGGTCTATACGCACTCATCTGTAAAGTTCTGTTTTTGTTTTTAACCGTCAATTCACCGTCAAGTAACACCAGTAACTTTTAAACCATATAAATACATTTCCACAGAATAGGAGCCTTAATGATGCAGCTATTCACTGTTTAGTTCTGCGAAACCTTGATTTTATTGTATTACTAATGTATTTGATAGCAACAAGTGTACACTATCAATATGTGAAACACTACAACTTAGCCAAGGCTAATCTGCAAAGTCCTTGCTTAATATTATCATCTTTATTTGGAAGCATCAAGCAAGGAGGTGACACAGTATATTATAGAGAAACAATACAAAATCCATATGTCACAGGTTTAAAAGTGTCTGTTGAGGGGGTGTGATCATAAAAAAGGGAAACTGGATAAAAAGGGGATAAAATTTAATAAAATATTTACAAAAGGTCCATTAAAATCATGATAAAACCCGCAGTCCGCTGGGCACCGGTGTCCTCCCTGGCCTCGGTTCCCTCCAGGCCCTTCTCCGTCCCGGGACCGGGCTGCAGTCCCGCCAGCCCCTTGCAGACCACGGGTCGCCACCGGGCACCCGCGGGGAAGAGCCGGCACATCCCGGTCTTCGGTGGGCATAGCCCGGGCGCGCACGCGCCAGTGCGCTATCAATGCGCGCCCCCTCACCGGTGCCGCTCTGCCCGCTGGCCTCAGTGCCCCGTGGTCTCTGGCTGGCGGTGCTCGTCCTTGGCCCGGTCCCGGTCCCGTGTCCTCATCCTCTCCCCTGGCTCTCGTCTGGCTCTCCTCTGCTCTCTTCCTGTTCTTCTCCCCTGTCCTGCAGTGCCCGCCCCCAATTAAAAGGTCTTGATTAAAACAGGTGCGGGTGATTAGGGGAAGTGTCCAAGGAACTGTGATTAAAATCCATGCATTAAAAATATAAAAACACAAAACACATCACACAAATAAAAGCAGTTAAAAGTCCTTATTAAAAGTTCACTTTCCCACACATACATTCAGAAAGTAACAGGAGGGATTCTACTCTGGTTTAATGCATTTTGGAGTTGTGTGTGTATGTGTGGTAACTGTTATTGCTGGATATTGCTCCAAAAGTCCAAAAATGCTGTTACTGATGTTTCTAACAGTGTGAGGACCTGTCAGTGGGTCTGTGTGATGGTGTAGTTAAGATGCATTAATAAACAAGCTGTGTTTTGACCCTAACCCAATAAAAAACACATTTTACATAGTTTCGTACACTGTAAAAATACAGGAGCTGTCTCTGACTCATCGATGCTCACACAATAAAACACAATAAAAATCGCTTCAGTTTGTGATTAAAACCAGCTCAGTCCGAGTTCAGTTGAAGCTGAGGACTTAAAAGACTTCCAGAGCTTTTCCTTCAGGACAGAGAAGCCCGACAGACGAGTCCGAATGTCGTTCTCCTAATTCACGCTTGACATGTAGATTCTCTCCAATTCTCTTCACTTACCGCTGCAGCGAGTGTGTGTTGCCGATGTTCAACCGGCTACGTCACAGAGGGCACATTCACACATAATGACATTCATCGCGGCTCTCTGATTACGCTCTAAATTGTGTCGTGAAAAAAACGTGTGTCATTGGCTGTGGTACTTATATCAAAAACATCAGGGGCCAGTTGGATCAAACCAGGGCTACGGTCGTCTTCATTAAAACAAGGAGATGAATATACTGCAAAAAGTGATACAAAATGACAAAAAAAAAGCGCTCAAATTTGGC